GAATAGGCTATAAAAATGTATACTATTAAAACTAAAAAACGTCTAACACTTCTGTGTAAAAATTTTGAAATTTTAGTGAAAATTTGTTGCATTTTTTTTGTAGGTACCTAGTTTTCTACAAAGTTTTTAAACTTGGGTTTCTATGGGCTTTGCTAGATAATGAACTGTATTTTAATTGAAAATTCTTAAAAATTCAAAAATAAACATAAGTGGCAAACAATAACACTTTGAAATACCTAGCGTGCTATAGATATGACCGACACCGTATGTGCCTAGATCAAAGACATAAAATCTATACAATGGAATATGTTTTGGCTGACTTAAACTCTAAGTCCTAGATAAAACAGCACCTCTAGGCTCAGGTTTTTGTGGGTTTCAGACATCGGCGTAGCCAGAATGAAATTTAGGGGGGCTCGACCCTATTAAGCCGGCATTTCAGGGTACTATTTTATATATATATAAGGAAAATTTTAAAGTTAGGGGGGACTCGAGCACCCCCTGCCCCTACCTGGCTACGCCCATGGTTTCAGAACTTACTCTGACTCTTTAGTTGCAGCCAAATTTGAATGTGTAGAATAATTGACCTCCATATGGGGATAAATAGAGATACTTTTCTGTAGAGGTCATTGTAGGAAGGGTAGAAATGAAAAAAAAGCTGTAAATTGTTTATTAACGGAGTTCTGCGCAAATATACTGCGGTCATGATTTTGTATAGGTACAAATGTATTTTTCGTTCACAAATATTTTCTACAGAAAAGTTTGAATTGTTCTTGCGAATTCTTTGTTACTGCCATGATAAAAACATAACATGGTCAAACCATTGAGAGACAGTCTGACGTTTGCTAGCAATATAACTTAAAAACTCAAAACTCAAACTCACACACACACACACACACACACACATTAGCATTTTCAATCTCAAACAACGACAATTTTGAACAATTTCATATTTTCATTTTAAATTTTATATGATTTTAAAATGCTTGCAGACGTCAGAATTGGATTGACGTTCTGCAACCAAATTCTGAGATAGGGCGTTCTGCAACCAAATTCTGAGATAGGAATTTTTCAATCAAAATTTGAAGTAGGGCGTTCTTGAAAAGTTTTTTTGAGATAGGGAGTTATTGAAAAATTTTCTGGGATAGGGCGTTTTCGAACTGGCTGCCGAGATAGGTCGATCTTCCACTTAGCCATAGATAATCTCTTTTTGTGCATTATTATATATTTGTATTATCTACATAGTTTTTATTATATCTTATCTTTTGGTAGGGGGGTAGGATCAAACCCTTTACCAAAATTTTAGAAAAGGTAATTGAAATCGCAAAAAAATTGGAAAACAAAAAACAGAAAACTGTTGTGTCACCCTTTATAATTTAATATTTATTTATGTATGTATGTACTTTATACACACAAGCAACAACAATGCCAGCAAAAAAATATAAAGCAAAACGCAATCACACTAGGGATGAGATATATAGGTAGCAACAACTAAAAAAGCACTAGAGAGCCTAGGCTCCATGTTCACTTGCGATTTGCTACTTTGACTGGAAGTCAGCTTTCATTTGTGCAACACTCAACGCACCAGCTCATTGTCTGGGCTCGCGCACAGCAGCAGCCTCTCAATGGAGGCAGACTGCACAACAAACGTCATCGTTCTTCTTCAGAGCTGTGGATGTCGGTCGACCCAGTAGTCCTTCACTGCACTGCACTGTATGTATGCGACTGTTTTATTGCACCTACCAGTGGTCGGACTTCTACCACATTGTGGTAGATCTGCCCCTTTTTTGAGCATCTACCACTTCTAGCACACAAGGTCTGAAGTCTACCACATATTCGCGTTTTGGAGTAGTTTAATTTTTGCTCGACATCATTTTTTTATGCTTTTAATTTTGGGAGCAAAAATTGCCCAACATTAAACACAATGTGATAACAATAATGAGAGAAAGCAAGATTTTGTATTCCCGGCTGAGATGAGATTTAAACATTTTAACTGATTTAAAAGTAAACAAAGCCGAATGGGAGGAAGAAATAAAGATAAACACATAAACAGTAAATTTGTTGTTAATATTCAATTTTTCGACAGGAAACGTGTTTCAATTGTCTTAGAATGCTAAATATATGATTTATAAAAAGAATTAATAAAGAAAATTTTAAAGATGGGAGATTTGTGAAAGTATTAATGAATTTCAGTGCATTTAAAGTTTCTGAGGCGTTAAATAGGTAGCAGTTTGCGGAACGCACCACCTTTGTTCGCTAAATCGTGATGTGATAAAAAGAAAAGCTGGCAGCACTCCGCAAGGTTGGAGAAATCTCTCAAAGTATGTTCGAAAAATATCTTTATAACGAAGGAACTGTTTTACACTGTCAAGAAAAACAAAAATCCCAAAACTCAACGCAGTTTTTAGCGACTTAAAATTCGCACTTTATTACATGTACTAAAATTTAAAAGTTTTTTTTTCTGGAGATTCTAATTGAAAAGTTTGCAATTTATGTGAAACGTTGCACAATTTTTTTAATTTTTGCACAAAGTTTTAAATTCGGATTTATATAGTTTTTTAGACAAAGAGCTATATCTACTTTTGTAAAAAATTAATAAACCTAAAAAAAACAAAGAAAAATAGCCAAAACTTGTTAAACTGTCGCGAGACTATTAATAGTTTCTGTTCGTAGTACATAAAAGACATAAATAAATAAGAAACTATCCAAAAACTGATATCTACCACATTTTTTTGAAATCTATCACATTTTTTTCCAGATTCTACCACACAGAATTATTTTAAGTCCGATCACTGACACCTATTCCTAGTTAGAGAATTCCGCCGCCGTTGCTGTAAATAGCACTCATATATCTACAGTGTTGCCGTTGAGAATTTTCAGTAAGTCGCAAAAAAGGGATAATTGACGAAAAAAGGGCCACAATATTGTTTTTGCTTTTATTTAGATACTAGTAAAAGAATAAATCTGAGATCCAAAGTCAAAATCAAATTTAGATGTATTATTAAAACTTTTCGCTGCTAGAACGTTCCGCTGTTGAATTTAAAAAGAAAATAGCGGGAAAAGCTTTGAAAAAAAAAATACAGAAATCGAGTTGTTGCAGGAGAGAGTTGCATTCCTTTAAAAGTTTTAAGTGCTACATTTTTTCGTACTTATAGGAGGAAATATTTTTTAAACAATAGCATAGCTATGTTAACAATTATTTTGGAAAAGGGTAAAAAAATTGCAATTTTCAAAAAGTCGGGTCAAAGGGTATCGGTGCCTAAAAAGGGCCAAATTGGCCCTTTAGTCGCACAACGGCAACACTGCTCGTACACCACAAGTGCCTTGCGTCGATGCGCCTGCTCAGCGCAGCACCACTAGTGATAGGTTAGGATTTTTAGACTGTTTTTATTATTTTTTATTTACCGTTTTTTCTACAATAAATACAGTAGATTTGTTGTTTTTTTTATATTGCACCCCTTCCATTGTTGTTCACTGTGTGCTACTTTGTTGTTGCCTTTTACTTTGTGTCATTGGTGGTTGGTTGGTTGGTTGGTTGGTTACTGACTGCAGGCAACAACAAAGCAGTTTGCACTGCATTACAACTGCTCTGCTCTGCTCTGGCGCTGCCCAACTATACACTGCTATATCGACACTCTGGCACTGCCTTCGGTGGCCTTGCTGCACTGCATTAGTGAAAACAATGCTGCTACAGCTACCACCACCATCACCGCCATTTATGTTGTTGTTGTTCGCACATACATAGCTGCATTGGGTTTTAGTTGCTTCACTTCCAACAGTGGTGTCCTACTCATTCGCGAACAGCCTGACACACACACACACACGCTGTCATGCGCTCACTCATTCACATGCACACTCCCAAGCGTTTATTGTTATTGCTGCTTTGCTGTGCTGTGCTGCGCTGTGCCTTTTGCTTTGCTTTTGCAATTGAACCCTCGCCAATGGTGATTCGTCGTGCTTGTTGACGTCGTCTACTGCGTCACTTTGTTCCGATACCTTGCTAGCTGCCTGGCTTGTTGGCTGGCTGGCTTGCAGGCTGACTGCTGCTGCGCCGTCGCTGGCTATGCTTGTCTCGTCGGCATTGTGTGCGCGCCGCAGCGGCCGTAACAGCCTCAGCAGCGGCAATGCCGGTCATAACATCACACTGCGGGATTCAGTTGGGGTTTAACAGCCACTCGGGACGGTACAGCTGTCGCAAGAACTTGGGCAAGAGTAGCGTCACACATTTGAGCCAAAACACTGTAGTGCCAGCTTGAGCTGACTTATTTTTTTTGTGTTTTTTTTTATAGCTGCTTCAATCCGGGAAAATCCCTAATTCTCAACGGGCTTTTTTGATATTTCGAGAGCGTCAATGAAATTTGTACAAATCAGCGCAGCTGTCAAACAAATTAGTTATTGAACATACACTGAATATTTTTGGAATAATTCGATGAATTTGCGTATACACCAGTGACCGAGCGGGCGTCCCAAAACGACCGACCGACCGATCGATCGGCCGACTAACCAAACAATCAATTGATTGACAGTGTGTGTCGTTTGGCGTTGTGAGACAGTGTGGCAGAAAAGTGTGCGTACGTTTTGCGCGTCATTGTGTATGTGTTTGTGTGCGATTTTTTTATTAAATGTTTTTTGATGCAGTAGCAGCAGTTGTGTGAAACCCCACGAGGGGAAAGTGTGAATAAGCCGAGTCGCAAGTGTAAACGCTTAACTGAGCGCGTAGTAAAAAAAAACAAACAAAACAAGTGATTGTATACAAATCAACTTTCGTTGTTGTTATTGGTATGTGCTGCAGAAAAAACGCGCGCTTTAAAAAACAGCGAACAAATAGTGGCAGCAACAACAACACATGCAGTGTTGAATAACTCATAAACGATTTAGTTTTCTATACTGAATTAATTTCGTGCTTTTTTCCACTCCGCGTCACCGCCTTCACACCAACAATTTGCTCTTTTTCTCATCCCTTCCGTGCGTGTAACGGCTTCAAGCTGCGTTCTGACGAACCAGTACCGGGCTTTAGCTCGGCCACACCATGGCCCACGCTCGAATTAGAATGGGGCCGCAAGCTATATCCGTCGACCGGTCCACGTTCGGCGAGCGGCCTCATGTTTGGTCTGCCACCAACGGCAGCGGATATGAATCAGCCGCGCGGTCCCATGACTTCGCTGAAGGAGGAGCCGTTAGGTGCGCGCGCCTGGATGCAACCGGTCATCGATCAGAGCAAGTAAGTGGACAAAAAATGGAGGTTCGATGAAATGAGTGGGTTTTTTTCGAAAAGTTAGGAATGCTCGCTATCTAACGATTTTTGATACACAAGTAGGTAGGTATAAGTGGAAGTAGGAATACTCTACCAGCCGTTTGAAGATTATTTTTATACTTAACTGCATCCCTTATGCTTCCCTAAAAAAATTCAAGTATGGCAATATGGCTGAAAGTTCTGGCTTCGAAGGTTTCTATTTAGTTGTCGGTTGGTTTTGGCAGGGTGTATCTTAAAGTTCATTTTCACCAAGCCTATTAGAAAAAGGCTATTATAATTCGAAGGGGCTAGTTGCGCACATTTAGTATAAACCAAACAAAAGTATAAAATTCAAAAGTATCTAAGCCTTGCCGATCATTCCATGTTAAAATTTTTAGAACTTATTTGGCCTCTTATCTCTTATCTTCAGCCTTTGATGGCAATGGGCTGTTAGATGCGTCTTGGCTGAATTTTCATCACCCCTGGAAAAGTTGTAGCAGGTTCAGAACAATTCATTGTAGGTATCTCAGCCGATCGGAGGCTCAAGATTCTTCTATTACATAAATCTCCGTGCTCATAGAAAATTTTTTGCGAGAGAATTGCATCAATACGTTATTTACGAATTACGAATTTTTTGCCAATTAATAACCAGTACTGAAAAAAAAAACTTAAAAACTTTTTTGGAACGTTTGACCGCTGTTATCTAATATGTATGTACATATTTTTTTTTATAAAAAAAAAGGTTCATTTTTGATAGAATCCGAGTTTTGCTTAGCATAATTTTGAAAAAATTTGGGAAAAACGGGCTGGACGGAATTTCAAAACTGCCGAAAACTAGTTTGGCTCAAAATAAAGAAGCTTGCGCTTTGTAAAAAATTAAAAGTTTTACAATAAAATTATTAAAATTTATGAATTTTTTTTTAGAATTATATAAAATTGTAAAAATTTACGGCATTTTTATCAAAGACTAATATTTTTTTTTAATCGAATAAATAAAAAAAATATTGCGTTGAAAAATTATTTATTGAAAGGGTTACAGGATGAAAAAATTAAAAAAAAATTTGACGCTTAAAAAAATCTCGTACTCTTAAGAATATTTTAAGCGCTTCTCCAATTCGAAATCCAAAGTATCTACTACAAAAGCAGTGGGATTGGTAGAAAGGCGCAGAAAGTCGGTATGTAAATTTTTATGTCGTTTTTACTTGACCGATTTGGCTGATTTTTTACCACCACTTTATATCAACGTTTATAGTGCTACATAGGGAAAATTTATGTTGTTTTCTTCAATCCTTAATTAGATTTTCCGCTTAAGGCTTCTTTATTGTGAGCACGATTTCTTTGTTAAAAAAATGCTTACAACTTAATATAAATAAAATATTTATTTTATTTTTTATTTTTAACTGAATAAGAATTTTGTAAGCATAAAAGAAGTTTTTAAACACTTTAAGGACGATTTTCTCGACTAAACGGGAGTAAATATTTTCATTTAAACAATTCTTTTTTCCTCTTAATAGTAAAGAATTTATTAAATAAAAAGTTACAAGATGTACCACTTTTATTTATTTCACAACCAAAAAACAAAACTAATTTGAATGTAAAATATTTTTGATCCTCTTTTAAAAATGAATTTAATTTGAATGCTTGCTAATTCTTAAAAATCTTGAAACACTTTTTTAAAAAGTGGTTCGGTTCAAACAAAGCGCTTCGGCTCAAACAATTGTGGAGAATTTCGGTTCGGTTATTCTTTCAGTTATTTGGTAGAAAAAATCCGTTTCAAACCCGGTCCGGTTCAAACTCGGTTCACGTCCTTGAAATGTATGAAATTTCTTGTGAGCTGCATACTGTTTTAATAAATTTTGATAGAAAAAAAAATCTTTTACATTTCCTGAGCGGGGTTTTTATATGAAAGTTTTATTTTTCTCGAGATCTGGATACCAAGTTCTTTTACATTAATTCTTGAAACAAAAAATCCAAAAAAATTTGGGGTCATTATTTCTGCAGATGCATCTTAATAGTTTTAGACATTTTAAAGTTTTTCTCTTAGTTAAAAAAGGACACATAATTTTACACTAAAAAAAAAGTCAACAATTTTATTGAGCGTAACGGCGTTTTTTTTATGGAAAACATTTAAAAAAATTTGTTCTTAAAAACCTGAAACTTACTTTTCTAACAAATCATCTTAAAGGGCTGTTTTCAACTCTCAAGTAAAATTACAAAAAAAAAGGGCTTTGCTTGTGCTGAAAAATTCTTGAAGAAATAAATAAACGACCATTTTTTCCTGAGAGCTGCAAACTTATTTAAGAAATTTTGATAGAAACACTATTTATCCATTTCTTGTTCGTCATTTTATATGATTTTATCTTTTTTCTTGAGAGCAGCCCTTAAAATGTTAGAAACTCTAAAACTCCTATTTTTTCAAAGTAACAACACAAAATTTATTAATAGCTTTAAACTTGTCTGTGAACTATCTGTAAAATAAATTTAAAATTTTTTATGCTAAAAACAATTTTTTTAGTTTTAATATTTTGAAGATATAATTTTTTTCCTTTAGGTAAATAACACCAAAGAATAAATAAAAAAAACTTTAAACATTTAACAATGCTAGAATGCAAGGTACATTGAACAGGTAGTATCAGTAGAGCAGCTGATTTGATTTATTTTCAAATTATTTGGTCTCGAAAATGTCAAATATTTTTAATTTTTTCTCACAAAAATTCTGAATTGTTAAAATCCATTTGCATGTAAAACCTTTTTCCATACAAAACAAGCGATTGAATAGCAGCTTTTGGAACGTTCGCACAACTCAGCAGCACAACCGCTGATTACTGGCCCTTGTAAAGGATGGATCAATGCTTCGAGAAGCAAACAAATTTACTAGGAAAGAAAGTTGCAACAATTTTTATTTTTTCCAATTTCATTTTTTTAATTATTTTTGTATTTCACATGGCACCCTTTGATTTAGAAGAAAAAATTCAGAACAGTTGTTGACACTTTCGATACCAGAAGCAACAACAAAATACACGCAAATGTTGTTTTTGCTCTCCTGATACTACCTGTTTAATGTGCCTTGCTAGAATGTTTAAATTTCATAAAATTTTTTCTGAGTAACAACACAAAATTAATTGAAAACTTTGAATTTACTTAAATAAGTAAATTAAATGTTTTTTAGTAAGAACTGTATTTTTTAAATCATTATTTTATTATTTTGAGTTAAATTTTTTTTTCGTTTTCATAACAAACAAAATAGTTTGAATATTTTTGAGTTTAAAAAATTCTTTTACGTACCACGAAAGGAAAGAAATTTATACAATATTAAAATTCCAAACTTTTCGGCGTTCTAGTAAAATTTCTTTTAAATTTTCAAAAACTTGTAGATTTTAAAATACTTGTCTACGAAAAAAAAACGATGTAATACTTGGAGAACAGTGGATAACAGAAAAAGTAGAATAATTACCGCATTAATAGCTAAAGATTTGCATTCATAAAAATACATTCAATTCTCAGAACACAAATATGTAGCAATATAGGGATTGTATATGGATATGATAAAGTTTTTTGAACTAAAAAAATATAAACCCTTAATAACTAGCTTAACTAATTAGGCCTACAGAAATAAATAACAAACAAATAAAATGCTACAAAATGGCGGCGCCAAGCGGTAACTAACCTTTAAGAAATCATCTCATAAGGGCTCTCGCTAGACAACTAAGCTAACCCACTTAACCAAATATTTTTCAGGCAATTGAAGAACTATTCTTGGTGAGAAATCCACTACAATTCTTATACATTAATTTTAGAATAAGCAAAAAGGTCTCCATACGCAACGGTACAAGTCGAAATAGCGACAAATTAATAAATAGAATAATATGTAAATCCGACCAAAAATTTATATTTTACAATTCCATAAATCTAAAGAGAAATAAATATGTAAGCTTGCGGAACCCTTCGGAGTTGAGCCTTAGTTAGTTTTGTTAGTCCGTTTCATATGGATGAACAGGTCAAAAGCTCAGTGCTCGAAAGTGTGTTTTTGGTATACATGTGGTGAATCCAAAATTATGGTGGCATTGAACTCTACTCAAATAAAGATACGTAATTTGTTTACCTGCTATGCACGCATATACGTAGTAACTAGAGCATCCCTGAGGCTTTTATGTACTTCCATATGTAAGCCCCCCCTTTTCATGTGTCAACACTGCGCCGCTGTTGCATGCCACCCTTTACCGTTGGGAATTTGTAATGCGAAACGTCTCGCAAAAGTCTCCCCCGAAAAATTAACCGCCACACACACACGCACACATACACACTTAATTTATACAACCATCAATCCACGCACTCAATTTCGACCCTGTACAACCACGTGCTACAGCGTTTTATTGCGTTTTATTTCATACGCTTTGTTGGCGAAGTGGAGGAGGTACTCGTATGTTGAAGAACAGCAAAAAACAACAGCGACGCTAAAAATTTGGCGGTGCCCTTCTGCTGCCGCCGGTATAGCTTTTGTGTAGTGTTTAAACCTAAAGCTTCTTTTTGACATGTTTTTTTTTTTTTTAATATTAATGCCAAGAACACACTCAAAAACGCACTCACACACTCACTCACTCACTCAAAAAAAAAAAGCACAAAAATATTGGCGACAAATTGGAGGTGTCGCTTTGCCAAAATTCTACTACTTTTTGCTTGTACTTGGCAACCATGTACAGATGGTTTTCGCGCCAACTTTCAACCCCCTTTGGCGGGTGTCATTGCTCTCTTGTATGCTCCACTGCAGCTTCACTCCTTCACTACATGTTAGCGGCATAAACTTGCTCGCGCGCCTTAAACACTCAACTCAACTAAACGCAACATTCCACTCCACTCATCCGTATCTCCATAAGCTCACTGCTGCCGCCGTCAATGCTTCCTTAGTAAATACACCAGTTAGTTAAATTTCGCAAGGATATATTAACTGTTTACTTTTGTGTAGTATCCTTTGTTGCATGTGTGTTTAT